TCCAGCTGGAGTGATTACTGATTGTCTCCGCACTGGCAATTAATTGCAAGCACTACTCAACAAAGTGCTGCATATTTTAAACTTATAATTGCTAATAATTGTTAGACTCTATTTATAATGGCCCCGAAGTCAACACCCGATTTATGTGTGTACAACCACCAGTTGTGGGATCTCCACTTTCATTACCAGTTACTGATCTGATACACTTTGTTGTTATTATATGTATGTGTATTATTTAATTGTATTTCTGGTACTGCCGCTAATCACGCCAAGTGGAGCTCCACTGTTGAAACTGAACTGAGCAAAAGATCGTACAGAACAAAACGTTTTATGCCCCTACACACAGAACTCTCAACACAAAAAAAAAACTAAAAATAAAAAAATATTAAAATTTTAAGAACCAGTTGTGTCGAAGCCACCATGGGAATCTTCCATCAGATGAGATTCCTCTAGGAGGGTAAATAATAAAGTCCGTTTGTCCGTCTTACTTGTGAAGAGAGTGGAAAGCCAGGCGATGCAGCTCCCTCTCTGCGGAGCGGTTAACAGAAAGAGAGAGTGAGAGAAGAGACAAAACCCTATGCACACATCATACATAAGTTCAACAAGCTGCGGTGACGTCACGCAAAGCTACAGAATATTCTTTGCTTTTGCAGCGAAACGGGTTTCAGCTTAACAGAGAAAATTGCAACAGGAGCAGGCGAAATTATGTACATACGTTGATGACGTTGGACAAGGTCAAGGTGCTGAACAAAACCTGTTCTATGTGGCCATGGCTTTGCTTGTTACCTTAGACAAAACTGACGTTGATTTGAATTGATTGCCGTCTGTCTAACTGCAAAATGCAGTTGGTTAATTCAAATAAAGTTATACGATAAACTAAAAATGCAAGCGTTAAATACACTTTGCAAATAACAGTACTTATATTTACTATAGCCAGACAACATAAAGTACACATTTTTGTAGAACATTAAATATCGAGGGAAAACTTGAGTTTATTGGTAAACTTTTGGCAGTTTCGATAAATTGGAAATGTACAATTTCTTAATGACTTTAGTTTAAGAAAATATCCTTTATTCGCTATGATTAGATCGGGCAGATCAGCCCATGAATTTGTTTATATTTTGGAATTTCTTCGAACGTCAGTAGCCTCAGGTTGCGAATACACAGTCCCGGCTGAGCTGCGGAAAAATTTGTTAAGTTTTATTCCGTTTCCAATAATCCAAAAAGGCTGCAGAAGTTCTTCTCAGGCATATGCAAATTCAATACTCTTATATTTGTTTGCTAATAAATACAACAAACGACACTTCTTGTTTCTTTCCCGCCAAAAGGGGCTTACACCATGATGTCGGTGTTTTCTTCGATGATTGTCCTCCTCCGCCGCTAATACATGCCACTATAAGCAATCTTCTGCTTAGATCCAATTTTTATTAATAAAAATAAAAATAGGTAATCGAAACCAGCCAATCTTGTGGGAAACTGTTTAATAAATTAGATAAAATTATAGTTTTAGCGCCGAGACTCCTAACTAAGTATTAATATTAATTAGAACATCAAAGATGAGAAATATGATTTGAGTATTATGGTATATTTGTAAAATGAGAAGGTTTATTTTGGTATGCTTTATCGATTTATATATATTTTTTAGGGCTGGGAAAACAACGATAGTGAATATAGTATAGGTATATTAGATTGCCCTAGGAATAATAGCTAAATGTTAAGTACTGAAAATAGTTATGTTTCTGCTGAGCTTGTAAGATATCTAATATGAAAAGATACAGTGAAACTGCAATTCTCTGTGATAGTCAAGGCGCCTTAAAGGCTCTGAAAAGCAATGAATCAAATTCATACTTAACTGATGAAATTCATCCACTTTTGTGCTCTAATACCGTAATACCCTATATATATATTTATTTAGATCCTGTGGTATCGCAAAAACATATAAATATATGGTGATTTTAGAAAAAATAACGATGTAAATATATTTTTACTTTAAAAAATATCGATATATTGATATTTTGTTATATATTTGGCAACCCTAATATTCTAGCGCCCATTTTTTTTGCGAGGTTAAAACGAATTTTGCAGCCGGCGTCGTCAATTTTGAGCATAAGTACAGTGCTAGGTCATTATTTAAAAAATTGTTGAATTATGTCGATGTCTACCTTTAACTTTGCGAGCATGGCGGCCCAAATTACAGAAGAACAGGGCATATCATTCCAGGACAAAGCTAAAACCTGGGACTCTGCATCGGATGGTGAGTGTAAACGACGCCAAACATTGCAAACCGAAACTTACGCTCTCTCTATTGTTACACAGTCCAGGAGGTGGTGGATGCACTCAACAACCAGTCATCAGTTCATTTTCTGAACCTTGATGGCAACACGCTGGGAGTGGAGGCAGCCAAAGCCATTGGCGAGGCCCTGAAGCGTCATCCGGAGTTTCGCAAGGCGCTGTGGAAGAATCTGTTTACGCGCCGTCTTAAATCAGAAATTCCAGAGGCCTTGCAGCACCTTGGAGCCGGTCTGATCGAAGCAAAAGCTAAACTGACTGTTTTGGATCTGAGCGACAATGCCCTTGGCCCCAATGGCATGCGTGGATTGGAAGTATTTCTGCGATCGCCAGTCTGCTACTCGCTTCAGGAGCTGCACCTCTACAACTGTGGCCTTGGTCCCGAGGGTGGTGCCATGCTGTCCAAGGCTCTAATCGACCTCCATGCCAATGCGAGAAAGGCAGGAACGCCGCTTCAGCTGCGTCTCTTTGTGGGCGGACGTAATCGCCTGGAGGATGCTGGCGCAAAGGCACTGGCCAAGGCGTTCGCCACTCTGAAAACATTACAGGAGATTGTCCTGCTACAGAACTCGATCTATTTAGAAGGAGTTAAAGCGCTGGCCGATTCATTCAAGGCGAACCCACATCTGCGAGTGCTGAACATGTACGACAACACCCTGAAGTCCAAGGGCGCTGATGAAATCGCGGAAGTGATTAAAGGGCTGACAATGTAAGTGTAGAATCTAATGCTAATATTATTATATATTCAACCTGAAACTTGTGCCATGCAGGCTGCGGGAGATCCACTTTGGCGACTGCCTTATAGGCACAAATGGCGCCTATCAAATGGCCGAGGCTCTGGAGAACTCAAATAACGACATTGAGGTAATTGATCTGAGCTCCAACGAGATCAACTCTGATGGCGGTCTGGTGCTGGTTTCGGCCATCCAGAACAAACCGAAGCTGCGTGTTCTCAACATTGATGGAAATTGCTTTGGCCAAGAGGGCTGTGCGCAGATCATTGAGCAGATGTCCGCGTACCCGAATGCCGCTGCTCTGCAACCTTTCAATGAGGATGAGGACGAGAATGACTCGCAGGAGTCCAGCGAGGAGGAGGAGGAAGAGGAGGAACAGGGTGATGAGTACGATGATGGGAATGACGAGTACGACGAGCATGAGCACGCCAACGATACGACCGAAGAGGCCGACGAAGATGACGAGGAGTATGCTGAGGAGACCGCCTATCTAACCACCAATGCATACACCACAAAGGTTTGTTGCACCGACTCATTCGAGTGGTTATATATTTTTTTTAATGCATCTGTCTATGCAGTTATTCGACGAATCGACAAACTCCAAGGCGAGCGACACCTTTGCCATCGGCAACAAGCCGCCCATTATGTTCTGCAACCCCGAACAGTTCTGCCTGAGCCAGACGCCCTGCTCTCTGCAACAATTCGAGTCCCTCGCCGAGGATAACAAGCTGCAGGCCCTACAAGGGATTATAAATGTGAGTTGAGCCTTTGCAGGTATTCAATTTCTTTACTTTACCTTTCACTTTGCCATTTTTCTGCACAGCAATTCACCGATGACAACCATTTGCTGCTCCTCGTCTTTACCACCCTGAAGTGCGCACATTTGTCGCAACTATCTCAGCCGGCTCTTGAGCTCGCCGTTTCCCTCTTCCAGGCCACCTTCGACTATGCCGTAAAAACCAAGCAGGAGACCCGTGTCCTCAACTATGTCCTGAAGCAGTTGGGCCTTTTGCGCTGCGAGGAGGCCTTCAAGACGGACTACGATGTGAAAAGTTGCCGCCACGCTCTGCGGGAGGCACTGAAGAAACCCGAGTTTGCTAATGACAGCATTAAGAAGTCATTTAAACTATATCTCGATAACGTCGATGCATAAACTTGTCCTAAAATAAACCCTTTAAATCAGTATATGTAAATGTGAAAATGTGTAAAATTCCACTTCGTTGGTGAAGAAAATATATGCGTGTATGACGGCCATAAATGTTTAAACTTTAAAGAAATCGTTTAATAGCCGGTATTGGAAGGGTAAATAGGGAATATTTTATTTTTGCTCGAAAGTGGATGCAACATCAATAGCCTAGTCGATACAGCCATGTCTGTCTGTCCGTACATCGTATGTTCGCCTTGTTTGTCGGCTAGTACTCAGAGACTATAAAAGCTGGTGCCACCAAATTTTGCATCATCTGGATGACTGGCTGGGATTATACACTGTTACAAGTGTAGGCACACTGAGCGCGAAAATCTACTGTATCCACAATTTTTAGGATACTAAAAACGCAGTTCAGTAGGGAATGACTATACCTATCAGATCCCCTAAAAAGGTTCACATCATTATTATAACCAGAGTGGCGAAATTCATGTCCAGTGGCTGCCTCGTGAAGTGTCCGGAGGGGAGCGAGCTCAAAGAGCGTGTTGTCGTATGTATAAAAATTGTAAAATGTATAATTCGAAAAAAAATACATTTATACATATGAAAATATATGCTGACTGAGTGCCGAGTATAAGAGTTGTGACGCGTACGAAGCGTCTCACACGGTCCTCCTCGTTCATGATTAGCCATGCCCATGGCCGTGAAGGTATGTAAAAGGTTTCAAGATATTGTGCAGGAATCCATTGAAGAACTATATATTTAATCTAATTAGCAGCTAATTGTTAGCCAAGTAAAGCTCAAAATGCTCCTTCAGGAATAGACAGGAATAATTAGCAGTTAAATTGGGTAAAATTGATTTATTTACATGAAAAAATGGTATGAGTCTAAAAACTATGTTTATAAAACATGTTAATACAGCGAGATAGTACTTGTTTATGTTTATTCCTGCTGGTGGATTATTCACTGCTCTCCGACTGAGTGCAGCTACAGTAGACGAATGTAATGAAGTGGGTTGTTACCTAAAATACAAATTAAAACACCAACAATAAACACTGTTGATGGGGATAGCAGGGATGAAGAAACAAAGGGGGGGTTTCGAGAGCAGAGTGGGCAGGACAGAAGAGGATAGGAAGGACAGGAGTGATTCCAGTCTCCGAGATGTTTGCCAAATACTTTTCATAGAATTATGCGCAACCTTGGAGACCTTGAAACGATTTTCGTGCGTGTTTCCCTCGTTTCTCTTAGATATCAAAGTCGGAATCATCATCATCATCTACGTGGTCATCTTCCTCATCGCTTTCAATGACGGCACGCCTCTTCTTTGGCGGTGCCTTCTTTTTGGGTCCGCCACTGCTGTCCTCGTCGCGTGTGCGTTTAACCGGACGCTTAATGGGTGACTCGTCGTCCCCTTCATCCTCGCCGCTGCCAGCTTCCCCATTGGATGCCGCAGCAGCTGCTTCCTCTTCATCAGAAAAGAGGGAGCTGTAATCGATCTTCTTGCTTGCCGCCCTGCGACCAGGCCGCACGGCACGCGGCTCCACAACATCCAAGCATTCGACATCGCTGTCATCGGATTGCGCAGCTTTCTTGGCCTTAAAGGAATATAAACATAGAAGATTAATAAGTAAATGGGAATTATGTACATCTCTCCGCTGTTTCGTGCTCACCTTGGCCTTGCTGAAATCAAGTTTTCCCTGCTTCAGGGCGCCACCATTTTCCTTCTTTTGGCGCGGTTTTTTCTCGGCTGGTTCCTTCTTGGCTGCCGGCTCCTTTTTGACGGCTGGTGCCTTTTTGGCCTTTGGTGATGTCTTTGGTCCAGACTCGACCAGAGCATCGAACTCGTCCACCTCCTCACCGGCCTTGACTTCACCCGGCTCAGATTTAACCGCTTTGCCTGTTGGCTCCTTCTTGACTTTGGCTACCTTGGCCGCCAATGCCATTTTCTTGAGAATATCATCGGTTACCTTGAACTCGACATGCTCACCCTCTGGATCGGGGAAGATTTCCCCGGGTGGGGCCGCCGCCGAGCCCTTGACCTTCCTACCCTTGGCCGTGGTAGGCTTCTGGCTCTTCATGGCCTTGGATGTCTTCAGATTGACGCCCTGCTCTTCGAGGCGCTCCTTCTCCTCAACTTCGTTCAACTTCTGCTCCAAAGCATCGAGATCATCCAGCCAGAGCATCGGCGGAGTCCGCTTGCGCAGATTCTCCAGCTCGCTCAGCTTGTAGTCGCGCTGCTTGAGCAACTCGTTCTTCTTCTCCTCGGTCAACATCCACATGGACATGCCCAAGAGGTAGTCGAACTTCTTGACGTCCGTTAGCTTCTTGAAGGCTTTGTCGGGATCAACCTCCTTTTTGACATCCTTCTTGCTGCTGCTCGCAGCCGCTTGTTCGCCGTTCTCATCCTCCTCGTCCTCATTCTCATTCTCATTCTCCGCTTCGGCATCCTCCAGCTTGATGCGGCGCTGCCACTCCTTGACCGGATCCGGGCGATAGCCGCGCTTTGTCAGCTCATCGCACATGGCCTTGCGCTGCTTGTTCTCTACCACCAGCGTCTTCTCGCACTTTTCCAGAATGAAGCGAGCCTGGTCGCTTAGTCGGTCCGCCTGTGCCGTCAGCTGCCCCACCAAATAATCCTTTCTACGTGCGTAATACTCCACGCGCAAATCGTAGAACTCCTTGAGCACATCGGTGGATGTGGCGAAGCGCCTCAGGCAGTTGTTCTTATCGAAGGCGTGCATCTGGTTGATGGAGAGAGTGGAGCTCAGCTTGAACACGCGATAGAATCCTCCCTCCTCGGATCGAATGCGATTGAACTCCCCTGTGGTGAAGCTGATCACGAAGCGGACTGTGGTGTCTGTGTGATATTCACGATACTCGGCCACAATGGCCTTCACCTTATCCGTGCCATTAGAGAGCGGTTCGAGTACGTTTTCCTTGTAGTTCTGTGTCCAAACACCGACTGGGAGTTCGGTGATCTCGATTCGCTCCCCGTGTAGCATCTGTATGTTGCCGGTGTGCACGTAGCGCCCGTCCGAGATGTATTCCATGCGTCCTTGGAAGTTCTTGTACCACGGATGCATCGGCACGGGATCCTCACCGTTGATCATGCGCCTCAGATTCTTGGTAATTTCGCGGGGATTGTAGTTTGCTATCTTGGTTGACCAACCGGTGCCAATGCCTTCGGCTCCGTTGACCAGAACCATCGGTATAATGGGCAGATACCACAAAGGCTCGATCCTCTGGCCATCATCCTTCTGATACTCCAGCAGCGGATCGTCCAGTGGGTGGTAGATGAGGCGCGTCAGCGGCGACATAATTGTGAAAATATAACGAGCGCTGGCACAATCCTTGCCGCCCGTCAGCCGAGTACCGAACTGACCGCGCGGTTCCAGCAAATTGATGTTGTTCGAGCCGACATAGTTCTGGGCAAGGTTCACAATGGTCATCTGGAGGGAGACCTCACCGTGATGGTAGGCAGACATCTCTGCCACGGAACCAGACAGCTGGGCCACCTTCACCTCACGTTTGTCGTTGCGCTTGAAGCAGGTGAACATAACCTTGCGCTGGCCCGGCTTAAGGCCATCCACCAGACTAGGGATGGAGCGTTCGTTGTCTGCGTTGGAGAACAGCACCAGTTCGAGATTGATAAAGTCCGAGTAGCTGATGTGTTTGGTGCCCTTGGTGTAGAGGTAGCGCTCTGGCAGACCCAGCTCCCGGCGACGCTTGACCTCATCCATGTGATTGGTAAGCCAAACCTTGCGCGATTCGATGTGCTTGCGAGAGAAGGCCATCATTATGTTGTCATCGTCCACCTGTCCGTCGTACTTGAAGAGTATGCGATGGCGCTCCATGTCCTGGAAGTACTCTTTCGCCTCCTTGGAGGTCGAAGTACCCAAACCTTTGTAGTACTTGACGTTGTAGGTGTGATGATTGGGCGTATCCATCTTCCACTCCTCGAACTCTGGCAGCGAATAGAACGACAGCTCCTCGTTCTTTTTGGTCACCTTCACAATGGGCGTGATGAACTCCTCGAGGAAGGGCAGACGCAGCAGCTCCGGCCAGTTGGTGTGCACAAAGTTGATCAGCAGACCCTTGATGTGGGAGCCATCCTGATCCTGATCTGTCATGATCATAACCTTGCCGTAACGCAACGTCTTCAGGTCGTCCTCGGTCAGATATTTCTTCTTGTACTGCAGACCGATGATCTTGCACAGATTGTTGATCTCGGCGTTCTCCGACAGCTGCTTGAAGTTCGCCTCGCGCACATTGAGCAGCTTTCCGCGCAGTGGGAACACGCCGTAGTAGTTGCGACCAATCACGCCCAGTCCGGACACAGCCAGCGACTTGGCTGAGTCTCCCTCGGTCAGGATGAGTGTGCAATTGATTGAGTTCTTGCCGCCCGCCTCGTTGGCATCCTCCAGCTTGGGTATGCCCTTAATCTTGCTCGACTTTTTGCCACCCGTCTTGGCTATATCATTCTGCGCCTTGAACTTGGCCCAGGCCAGCACAGACTCCACAATGCCCGACTTGGAGAGGCTCGAGATGAACTTCTCGGACAGCGTGCACTTGGAGCCAAAGCCCTTCGCCTGCAGTGTCATGTTTTCCTTCGTTTGCGAGTCAAAGGTGGGATTCTCGATCAAACAATTCACGAAGATCCACAGATGATTGCGCACCTGAAAGGGCTTAATGTTGATGCCGCCTGGGGGAGACAGAAATGAAGCATTATGTATTGCAGCTCGATGGCATCTCAGTGCGGGCCCTACCTTTGTTTTTCTTCTTGAGCACCTCAATGAGCTGCTTGATGACATTATCCACAACATGATCGACATGTCTGCCGCCCTTTGTGGTGGCTATGGAGTTGACAAACGACACCTGCTGGAAGCCACGATCGGAGGGACAGCAGGCCACCTCCCAACGCTCGTTGGCCACCTCGTGTACGATTTTTATCGGCTGACCGCTGTCATCGTCCTGGTTCTTCACGTGCAGATCGATGTAATCCTTGAAGTTCCTCACTGTCAGTTTGGTGCCATTGAGGAAGACGGAGACGCCCTTCGAGGAGGCAGCCACATCGAATGCACGACGCGACATCAAAGCCACAATATCCTCGTCCAGTCGCTCCATCTTGAACTTGGCCAGATCCGGGCTGAATGTGATGCGGGTAAAGTCGGTGCCATTAAAGTCTTTAATCTGTGGGAGATAATATTATAGAATTCATGCATAAATACTGACAGAGGCTGAGCCACATACCGTCACATCAGAAGCCTTGGACATGTTGGCTCCCCAAGTCTGCTTGAAGGTCTTTTTGTACTGCTTTGTGGCCGTTTCGACAGTGAAGCTGGTGGAGAATATGTTGCAGAGCTTCGCTCCGTAGCCATTACGGCCACCGGTGACCTTTTTCTCATCATCATTGTAGTTGGACGAGGTAAGCAGATGGCCAAAGATCATCGTCGGCACATACATCTTTTGCTCCTTGTGCATGGTCACGGGAATGCCCTGGCCATTGTTCCAAATGGACACAATATTCTTCTCCGGATCAATGTCAATCTTAATGGTGTTCATTGCCTTGTCGCGCTGCTTGTTGTCGGCGGCATTGACCAGAATCTCATCGAATATCTTGTACAGGCCCGGCACGAATGCAATCTCACGCTGGATCATGCGCGTCTTCTCAAAGTCGTACACCCACATCAGTTCCTTGGTGAACTCCACGGAGCCGATGTACGAGTCCGGCCGCAGCAGAATGTGCTCCAGCTGCGACTTCTTCTGGTACATCTGCTCAATGGACATAGCGCTTCCATTCTCCATGACGCTGCTCTTGCACGTGCTGCTGTAGTTGAGCTGTTTGTGATAAAAAATTAATTTTTAATTGTTTATTGTTTGGCCAAGTGTAGTCTAACATCTAAAACAACGTAACTGTACCCCGAGTCCTACGATACGCTAACGAGAATCGCGATAAACCTTCCTCAAGCAACGCTCCCGAGGCAGCCTTTCGTGCCTGGCACGAGCAAGAGTGTAGCACCACAGGAATCGTAAGTATTATCAAACAATTTATGGTAAAATTTATGCTGTATTGTTGTTACTGTACCAGACGACGCGCTTACGAGTCTGCACAACAACCCTGGCTTTGGCGGCATTTGTGCCAAACTGCCGCCCGGCCCCTTCCGGCATTTGCCGATTTAAGCAAAACTACATTATACCATATCGATTTGCACATATTTTGATATTCGCATTAAATACCGCCAGACGGCAAGCATACATACTTTTACTTGCGGTGCAACGCGAGTGGTGTGTGGGAACTTGTAGGTACAGCGCAATGCGAACTGCATTGATGTCTATACCGGCAGCGCCATTTTTAATTTGCAAGCAAAAAAAGAAAAAACAAACGACGCTACCAAAAAAACTATATTCTACACATGAAGAGCAGCACGTGGAGATTTCTCCATAGCCTCTGTTCGCTATTTAGATTTAACCGCAGTTATATTTAAAACTGTCTGTGACCCGGCTTACCTTATTAATTAGTTGCGAGGCTTTTTGTAGTTGCTGCCGTCGAAAAAAACTCCAAGGCGAAAGCTGATCTTTCACACAAAGTAGAAGACGACGCACTACAGTTTTCGTTATGTATGCGCGGCCAAACGTCTACTGGCCTCGGAAATCTGATTAACTTTATTTATTATATTAAAACATTTATAAACCTTAAAACACTCGAAGTACACAACCCAGACGACCGACCGATTAAACCTTAAAAACAGTGTGACCGCGAAATTATCGATAATAAATACCTTTAGTGCCTCGAAAATATACCGAAATGTACTTTTTCGTGTTCAAAATATACCGTAAATATATATACCGTAGTCTTAATTCATGTTCTTCGACTTTGATGTTATATTTGATTTTAATAGCTTGCAAATGCTTTTAACACTGAAAAAATTATTTAATCCGATTGAAGAGTCAATTTGGCTTATTATAAAGACTCCCTTTAATCGGAATTTTTTGTTTTATTTTTTTTAATTTAATCGCTACAGCGAAATTCGCAGACGATGAGTCCGCATTGACCAGGTACTTTATGTTGAAATTAAGAATACTGAACATATTGAACTCAAAAAAGAGTTGCTTGCCGAACGAGAACACTTTTGTGTTTTCTTTCTTAAACCACCATGTTTGGTTTTGCAAGGATTTTATTACACTATAAAGTGATCGAATTTTTTCAAAATTTAGAATTCGAAATTTGCTTTGCTCATGGCCAATGGCCAGTTCTTTAAGGTGTAATGGCTCTTTTCGCAGATTATTATAGTATTTAAAAATACGAAACTTACCCCTGAGATTTGTGAACCGTTGTCACTTAATTTGAATTTTTCATTCAAATCACCCCTTCTGGAGCTTTGTCTACAGTATGTAAATGTATGTAAATTATTAAAAGAGACACATGTAGTTAACTGATATCATATGACAAATATGAGTGAAAGCGCGCGGAAAAAAAGAGGAAAATAAACAATGGAAGTATATATTAATAGCTCGAAGTGTCAAATATTCCAATTTTATATTATAAGGCGGGTATCCAGCACCGCAAAAAATGCTAGCCAACAATTTGGTATACATTTCTTGTGTGCGTGGAACGTAACTAACACAGGCATAAAAATCAACTGCAGTTTGAAATTTAAACTGAAAACAAAAAAGTAACAAAAAGAGCTGGTAGTTGAATTGAGAATGCTTTTGGCATTTGCCAATAATGCATATGGTTTGCCAAACGTCCATTATTGCCATAAGAGCATAAATACTAAATAATTCACTTATTCATTTCAGTAAAATGATTTAATTTTCAATAAAAACATGGGAGAAGTATTTTCTTGACTCCGGCTATCTATTATGACTCTCTTACTTTCCTCCATTTCGCAAACTACACACCAGAAATAAGTGTCAACCATATATTTTGGCCCAGTGACGTTGATATGCAATGACTGCACCCATGCCACCCAGGTGGCCCATGCGACACCAAAATCAGAAACAAGACAAAACTAAAATGCAACTAACTTCGGGAGAGGTAGGCTAGTATAAGAGATTTAAGAAGAGGAAGGGAGTTAGTTGAGGATATAATGTGGCAGAGGGAATTATAATCCGAGCATAAAACCCTAAGGGGTTCGTGTGAGGCATAATTCGATGTACATAGTGAAAGGAACGAAGGAATAATGTTTCTAGTGGGTCTAATGGAATGGGAATCGTAAAGTTTATGCGGCTCAGCCGCATGCTAGAAACAGCAACCGAGGTGGAGATAACCAATATGCTGTTCTCTAAGGGGCAGCTTCATGCCCAGACGCAGCTGCCATCCGATTATTAAATAAACTCGTTATATATATTTGAAATGTATTTGTTTTTTTTATCGAAATACACCAGCAGATTCATTCTGCCCAGGTATTGACCCAGCTGCACAGTTAACATAGTCCCTAATAGTATTTCTAACATGTTTGGGATAGTCCTGGACACGACCACGAAAGGATTCAGTAGCAGGGTCTGCTGCACTTTGAATTAATGGGCTTTCAACCCTGGCGCCATATTCTCTTGGGCTTACGCGCATCAAATAATTGTGAAGATAGCAGCATGCCACTATTACATTTTGCGCTCTGTCTGGGCCACAGCGTAAAGTGTCTGGAACAGCCATCCACCTATTGCTAAGAATTCCGAATGCCTTCTCAATGCAACGACGAGCTCGACTTAGCCGGTAGTTGAAAATCCTTTCAGCTTTGGATAGTTTCCTGGACCCATATGGTTTCATTATGCGCTTGTGCAACTGAAATGCCTCATCCGCAACAATATAGTATGGAGTACGCACTCCCTGCAGCATGCCATCCTCCGGAAATGTGACATTGCCCGATAAAATTGCTTTTCCAAGCGAACAATGTGAAAAGGCAGTCATTTCGGTCTCACTCCCGTAAGCACCAACGTCGATGTAGGTGAACCTATATGAGGCGTCACAAGCCGCCATAAGCACAATTGAGTGAAAGCCCTATAGAAGAAAGGAAAAGGTTAGTTATATACCTAGGTACATACGTTGCCTGAGGTAATTGACTTACTTTTGAATTGTAGAATGCGCTGCCACTATTAGGTGGTGCCCTGATGGCTAAGTGCTTTCCATCGATAGCACCAATGCAGTTTGGAAAGTTCCATTGCTCCATAAAATCTGTGGCCCACTTGAGCATGTTCTCAGAGTTCCATTTCGGAAACTCTCCGTGCAGCGCAGTGCAAATAGCGTGAGACACCAGATCAATTGTCCGGCCCATGTGTTGCTTACTTATCCGATAGGTCGAGCCAACGTGACACTGTAAGTCTCCGGTCGCAAAACACCTAACACAAACGATGTAGTGAGTACTCATTCCATAGTAAAAGACTTGCAGTAGACTTACTCAAGTGCAATGGCTAATTTAGCTCTGAGTGGAATGGCGTCCGGGCGTGAGTTGCGCTTCGGCACTAAATGTGGCTCCACCAATGAAAATAAGATATTGAACTCGCTTTCGTTCATATTAAAGTTCTGGTAGAACATTGTCGGGTTCTGCACCATATTCTGAAACTATGAAATGTTTATTTTACGTGAAACAAGAGATATTAATTATAACAATACTCACATCATTTTGAAATCTTCCCTTTTCTTTCCTCAGCTGCAAGTAAGGGTTCACCCAACAATTGGGGCGCCTCCGTTTGCTCTGTCCTTTTATATTTATCTGATCTTCCTTTTCTTTTGCAGCAACATATGCCGCCAATATCACTAATACTTCATCGTCAGAGTACATTTTTTGGCTGTTTGAATTTTCATTGCACTTTTCACCATTTGCGCTGTTTACAACAAACAGCTGATTCGCCAGCTTGTTTTAGTTACGTTCCACACAAACGAAATATATAGCAACTTCCTGGCTAGAATTTTTCGCGGTGCTAATATATCGATCTAAAATGAATTATTTCAATTTAATTTAATTATGTTCCTTTAAAAATAAAAACATAATTATTATCTTAAAAATCGTAGTTCTGGCGGGCACATGGCGATAGTAGCACGCTATGCAGCACTGCTCCAGCAGCTGCTTCATCAGCTGCTCAGCAACGTTGTCCAATTCTAGACCAAGTTTATTGCAGAAAATCAAACAAAATAAGCAAAACAGCACAGAATTAGGCTAAATACTGGCCTAAAATGTGGCAAAATACTGACATCCATTAGCGAAATTCGTTCGGCGGAAATATAGGAAAATGCTCAAGATGTTTATTCTTCTGCGCCCCACACACTGGCTGGTACTGATCGCCCTTTGCATTCTGACCTGCGCTGGCTATTGGTTGCTCTGGTCTGAAATACGCCTGGAAAATGGTTAGTTGTTTTGTTGCATCTTATCTGGGATCGTAATGTTAATGAGTTTATTGTTTGAGCAGCCTTCAAGCCGCTGACCAAAGGAACGGAGGGTGGCAGCGCACTGGAGCAATCTTTGGGTGTTCCTGTTGCGACCGCCGTTGTGGACAGCTTCGATTACGAGGAGCAGCTGGTGGTGCTCTACAACCGTGTGCCAAAGACGGGCTCGACCAGTTTCGTCAACATAGCTTACGATCTGTGCAAACTCAACAAATACCACGTGCTGCACATTAACGTCACTGCCAATATGCATGTTCTGTCGCTTCCAAATCAGATCGCCTTTGTGCGAAATGTCTCCAAGTGGCATGAAATGAAGCCGGCGCTCTACCACGGTCACATGGCGTTTTTGGATTTCTCCAAGTGAGTTCAATATCATTCCCGCATACCATACATTGCCTAAAGTGTAATTTTCAGATTCCAAATAGCCCACAAACCCATCTACATAAATCTCGTGCGAAAGCCACTGGACCGACTGGTCTCCTACTACTACTTCCTGCGTTTTGGCGACAACTATCGACCGAATTTAGTGCGAAAGAAGGCGGGCAATAAAATTGTGAGTACGATCCAAATTCAGGCTTTATAATTTTTAACTCAATTCTGTCTGTCTAGACGTTCGACGAGTGCGTGATCCAAAAGCAAGCAGACTGTGATCCCAAGAACATGTGGCTGCAGATACCCTTCTTTTGTGGCCACGCTGCCGAGTGCTGGGAACCCGGCAGCGATTGGGCACTCGACCAGGCCAAGCGCAATCTGGTCAACGAATACTTTCTAGTCGGAGTCACCGAGCAAATGTATGAATTTGTAGATCTGCTGGAGAGATCACTACCCAGGTAACATTGCTTTCAGTCTACTGTATACGAAAGTACATTTTATTCTCTTGTTTCAAGAATCTTCCATGGCTTTCGTGAGCACTATCAAACCTCAAATAAATCTCATTTACGCGTGACATCCTCAAAGCTACCGCCCAGCGAATCCACGATCAAGAGCATACAAAAGACCAAGATCTGGCAAATGGAGAACGATCTCTACGAGTTTGCGCTGGCACAGTTCGAGTTTAACAAGAAGAAACTCATGCAGCCGGACAACAAGCATTTGCAGAAGTTTATGTATGAGAAGATACGACCAAAATGATCGCGTAGGCGCAGCAGGAGTCGCAGGCGTATCAAGCCGACTTCCGTTGTGTAACAGTCCCTCCTCGGTCCGGTCCGGTGCTTGTGCTGTAAATATTTAAATTACATAGATTTGATCTGTACTTAAAGCAAGTGAAACAAACGACTTTGTGAAAGACACTAAAGACTTAAGCATTGAATATCGTTGACATATTAATCCAACCCATTTGTATGTAAGTCTCAAAAATCCCCCCACTCGAGAGAGAGAGCGCTTTTCTAGTTGATCGATCGTAAGCAATATCTAGCAACAATTGAATGCACAATATCCAACTCATTTAGTGAAAATGTAACTTTTTATACTCGACAATACAAAGATAATTCGTAGTTGTAACCACAGAGTCGTCAGTAGATCGATTTCCCGTAGTTAGCCATAAGTGTAACGATATTTGGAGCAACTCTCTCATTAATTGTAATCTGTAATCTTAAACTTAAGCTCTAAGGGCCACTCCATTGTATGAGGGTCCATCTCTCTCCTCCCGAATTTGACATTCAAATTAAATGCATGTACATAATTGATAACAATTTGGATTGCCTATTGCTCTGATCAGCGTATTAGCATCAGCAGGCTGTCGGGCCAGATCGCGTGTTTGTAAATTGATTAATGCCATCATTGGGTTACTTTCAACATTCAGCAACATGTTGTACTTTGCCTAAGCTAATTGCCATTGGTTGCCTGGCGCAATCCCGAACTGGACTTTCATAGCTGACGTAGCTCCCGCATGAAGGTGACTGCCTAGCTGACGACTGACTGACTGCCAGACAGACGGACTCAGGTGGGTCGGACGAGTGGACACAGCAGGGCAGAATGGGCTCAGCTCAGCTTAGGCAAGTGCAAGAAATACATTTAGAAACACAACAAGCAGTGAAATAATTAATTAATTGCTCGAGCTTGAAACCAAAGGCAAATGAGTTTGCGTTGCCCGCCACCCGTCAGTTGTTCATTTGGTCGTGAATCGCGGGCACGGCACACAAGTCTCCATCGCCATCGCCATCGCCATCGCCATCCCATAGTTGATCGCTGCTAGACTTCGACTTTGACTTCGGCACGTCTCGTTTACTATCCCAAGACTGAAGAGATCTTGAACCAAGCCATCCCCGTAGCTGAAAGTAAACGCGCGCTGGCCATTCGTTACTAAAGTATTAACTACGCCTGTCCGACAGACAGACCATTTGAAGCGACCCGTAAGAGAGATTTATAACAAGTTTTATAAATATGTACATAGACTATGTATTTGCATTTGTATGTGTGTATATGACAGTCGAGGAGTACTGGTTATGAGTCTTGAAACTAGTTGTGTGTACTGAAGGCGCGTTCAAAAGTTCAATTCTAATTGCGTTTATGTCGCGTATGTTATGTAAACAGCTACCAGAAGAAGACGAACAAAAGCTACACACTGCGAGAAACTGCAAGAACAATGTATACGAGATGATATAACAGTGCGTATAACAGTTAAGAAACCAAAGTCGAGTATAAACGTACTAAGTGCATATTAAATGCATTACAATGCGTTCGGCCGAGCAGAAAACTAAGAAAAGAGTGCGTACATTATTTGACTTCATAAAATGCTTTTTCAGTGCTTTCCGACACGAGCACGATCACCCGCGCGACTTTTGAACTTGATTTACGAAAAGAAAACCCACGACCGTGCTCTTTGCGACTGCCACTGGTTGACCTGACTTAGCTTTTATCTCCCTCTGGCTGCCTTTAATGGCCTATTAAATGTGGCTTAATATGACAGACTATTCTCACTGGCCTGGCCAGTTCGTTTCTTGATAACTTTGATGTACATATGTACGAGTACGTGTAACGATCGTTATACATAGACTCTGCTCGGGTATAAAATGATTTGCCAAGCCGCTTTATATTTCCAGTCTTTAAACGAGATTCTAGCCAGATACACAAACAGCGACCACAAGAGAAGGATCTATGTACAAGCACTTACTTGGAGCCCCCAAATTTCGATTAATTACCTACCTATCTTTCGGTAAGTTTCCGTTTCAACGTATGAACAAAGCACACGCTTTCTTTGGTTTCTTTTGTTCGGGTTTTTGCTGCTGCTCTTTGAGCCTGAACAATTACAAATTCAATGTCCGCCTGAGCATAACAATGCACATTACACATTAAAGCTTTTTCCCGCTCAACCCGTCTCTACAGGGTATCATATGAAGTCAAGTCCAAATTTGAGATAACCCAAAGTGAGTGCACCAATACACGAACAAGTTGCAACGGTAGCGCATAAACGTCACTGCTTTGCCTTTCGTGCAGTTGTTCTCTTTTGCTTTTGTACTTATTTTTGCGAGCATTGCTTTTACATGCCCATTCGGTTGCTGCCGAGAACATCATGTAAAGTTCAGTAACTTGCTGGCATTGACCTATTTCGAGTGTGCTCGTGTTCGATGTGACCGGCTAATGCAGGGACTTGTGTTGCTTAAAATATATTAATTTATTTTCATTGTTGCTGCTCTGCTGCATCGCGTGTTCGTGAGTGGTCTTTCGCGGTTTGGTTCGCATCAGCATGAAGATGCTGAGCACTGCAGCTGCAACCTGCGGCCTGCCCCAACAGTACACGTTGGCGGAGGTGGCTCTATCTCGTGTGGCGGCTTTCGACTCGGGTGAGAAACAGTGAAGCCACTTATGGCGTATAAATTAATGCCACATTCATGGGTATTAACATAGTTTGTTAAATACAATTGTGGGCGTTGCTTTAGTACACATGCTCGCAAATGTATGCACATATGTATGCATGTGTGTATGTGTGTGTGTACTGTTACCGCATGCAGGCTCCTCAATTCTATTGATATTTTGGTTAACGACAACCCAAATACTGGGGAAGTTGTATATAGGTAACAACAGAATTAGGCATTTACGATTTCCCGCACAACAGAACAGACTTTCCAGGCATACACAAATTTTAGAACGAGTACCGGTAAATGGACATTCCCATCGCAAAAGTGAGGTGTCAGTGAGTCAGTGCAAAATAAATAAAGGCGACTAGCGGGTATTCAATAGTCGGCAGTATGTACCTTTAACAGGTTTATGCCCCAACTCAAGCCGAATTGTGAATTACACAGACACAAATCGTCTCGTACTTGTATGTACATATGTATGTACAATATTTACATATTTATGTACATTTTAACCATTTTTTTGCAGAGTAAGGTCAAAGCACTTGTCATTGCCATTGCCAGGTCTTACAATTCCAGTTTCTGTCTTTTGTATTCCCCTTTTTTTTTTT